AACATGAAACAACAAAGGAATCTCTTTCCAACATGCATTCCTCCCTGTGAGACTCAGCTGCCAGGGTCAAGCTTGCTCAGCACAATGGGGACACCTCAGCCTTCAGTCAAACTTGGTCTGTATCTTGGATTCTCCAAACTGCAAAGGAAAGTGGAACACTGCAGTAATGGCTTTGTTCTTTCTCACTAATGCTGTTCTCTTTAATGTCTCCTTCCCTCAAGGTAGGGGCCTATCCTCCCCAGGGGACTCACACGCAGTGAGGGTCTGGACTGACGAGCCTATGTCCACTGGAGTAAAAGCAGAAGGACATGAACATGGTGAATGCTCACCTGTAAAACAGTACCATCAATGTGTCAGGGTGTCAAGGAAGGCTTTGTAAAAGGAAAGACAGAGCAGGACTTGTGAGCAGGCTCATCCCTAGCAGCCTGAAAGGACAACTGGCACAGGAGTCAGACAGCCCTGATGCTGGCATGAAAAGGTGGCCGGGGGGCATTTTCTCAGCATTCAAACACAGTCCTATCAAAGTCTTGGGCTGGACTTGTGTGTCACTCTTGAAGCCCAACGCACCTGCTATCTTTGCAAGAAACAGGTGTGACTCTTGTCTAGTGAAGTACAAGACCCGCTTTTGAGTTTACTTGACAATAAAGTAACACTATAGAAAAGAATCTTAGAAAAATCACGGGATCACCACATGGGATTTCCCAGAACTAGCTGCCTGTTTTGGAGGATTAGTTACAAACAACCTTTCAAGAGTCTAAGAGTTGCAACACAGATTACCCAGGGTAGTCTCAAAAAAAAGAGTTCTACTTCATGGATCCCTTGTAGTATCTGAGTCTAAGTCATTCTGATCACTTAAAAAAATCATTCTGAAATACAGCTAATTAGGATCATTCATTAGAATTTTACCCACTAAACTTAAAAGGTTAAAAACATTTTAAATACAAGTTAAATTACCTTCTTTGGAGATGAACAATTAGAACCCCAAATATTTCAACATCTTAATTAGAAAGGTCTTACAGTACTTTAATGAAACTGTAAATGATGCCTTTTGTTTTCTTTTGCGTGGTGTTGAGGAGGGAATCCAGAGCCTCATGCCTACAGAGTGAGTACACTACCACTGAGCTTTATCTCCAGTCCCAACGATGCCAATTTTTGGAAACTAACACTAACACTTTCTGGAACTTTAGAATGAATGTTTAGGGCAGCTGGCAAGCTCCATATTGATGAATACATCCAAAGGGAATTCCCTTAACAGCCAAGCTGGCCTGGAACTTGTAGAAATCCTTTCTCAGCTTCCCCAGTGCTCGGACTACAAGTGTACATCATCATTTCCCACTGAAATACATTTTAAAAAAAAAAGGCTCCTAAACAGTTTTAGAACAGATGGTTCAACAACCAAACTATGCAACAACTGAAGTAGAAGGAAAGGGCTGTCTGTGTAGCACACTTTCTTGTCAGTATACTGCCATTTGCTAGTAAATGCAACTGGGAACAAGAAATGGCAGGACCTGCTGAAAAGTATTTTGCTCAGATAAAGCAACAGCACCTCCAGACTCTGGCTACTTCTGTAGGCACCACGCTCTAACCAAATGAGCTAAATGGTCACCCCAGCTCCTTATCAACAGATGGCAATTCATTCATTCATGCAAACTGCAAAGATTAAAAACAATGTCCACCAAAACAAAAGAAAAATCTCTAACCCAGAAAACCTTTCCTGGCTCCCTACTACTGGTAAAATGTGCTGGATCCAATTTTTAAAGCTCCAGCATAGATTTTTAACCTCAGTCTGCTTTGGAGCCTTAACCAGCCAGGCTTTCCATATGTATCACCTCAGTCCTGCAAACAACTATGGCATGTGATGTCACTAGCAGACAGCGTAATGCCAGTGAACCATGGACCTCCAACACATCTGGTACCATTTTTTCATGTAAAACCAAAGGCAGCAATTGTGAACACACTGTGGATTTTCTTAAAGGACAGATGAGGAGACTAAAGGCTGTTTCCGCCCTTTAGAAAGACCAGAGGAGGGAATCTACAGTTATACAAGTTTCTGCAGACCTTATTTATGGTAACTTCCAAAAGTAATAGTAGCAGCAAGAGAGGAAAGGAGGATGTTTACACTTTGGACTTTGTATCAGGCACTTAAATTGTTGGAGAGACATGCCATTCTGAACCAAAGATGCGAAAACTGGGTTGGAGTAATCATTACAAGTGGTTTAATAATGGGCTTTCAAAAGCAAAGTGGAGGTGTGAGTCAAACCTCTGCTTATCCTTCAGTGCTGACTTTTTCTGTTTCTTTTTTTTTTGATACCAGGATTGAACTCAGGGCCTCACACTTCCCAAGCAGGTGCTGTGCCACTGAGCTACATCCCCGGTCCAATGCTGACTTTCAAATTTTCTAAATGCCCCAAACCACAGCAATCGCAGCAGTGGTGGCAACAGTAGGAACGGTTCTGTCGTGTCTATTTTCTGTATGTGTTCTGTGGCTGACTGGAAGGTTCTGGTGTCACACTGAGAAGGCTCTGGAAGGTGGCACATCTATTGCCCCGGGTCGGTCAGATCCAAGCTGGAGCCAAACATCTTCACTAGCTGTTCTTCATAGTGTGAGATGTTTCTCTTCATAATGTCCATGCAGGGCCCCAAAAGTCTCTCAAATGCTTGAACATCCATAACTATATTGTAAAAAAGAAGTGAGGGGAAGAATGAGTTTTCTATACAAACAATTCAAGTAATTTCTCTCATGCTAGCCTTTTTCTAAGTATGACCACGGGGGAGGGTAACTAAATCTACAGGTACTTGGAAAAAGAGTTGTCTGCACAGGAATGGAGCAGGGTGAGGCCATGTATATTTAGGAATTGCAAGTCAGGTGCAGTAGTGCACACCTATAACCCCAGAAATCTGGACAGCAAGACAGGGTGAGCCCAGATGGAGTAACTTAGCAAATTAGTAAGACACTGCCTCAAATTATAAAGAAAAAAAGGAAATTCCATTCAAAATAATAAATTCAGTAAGTTTAAGACTTGGAGAGTCCTGGAATGCCTGTTTTCCCTGTTCTTCCATAGCTTTGATTCTATTACTACTCTTCATATGACTGGATGGGTATATGAAGAGTAGTAATAGAAGGCTTTCCCTGGGGTTCCACTCACAGACTGTACTGAGTGCTCAGAAATGTCCATTAGGGTACTGGGCATGTCGTTCAGTGGTGAAGTGTGTGCTTAGTATGTGTAAGGTCCTTATTTTAATGCCCAGAAAAAGTGTGCTAAAAGAAAATATTATTCCATCTCTTGATTGGTGACACAAACTGTCCCATATCCAAATGTGAGTGAGAGCTGGTGGGAAAAGGCTTGCTGATGGGAAAAAATACTGTACATTAGAAAAAAAGTATTAATGCATGAAGAATTTTTCTTACCTAAGCAGGTGACATTTCCAACTGCATAAGCCGACGCAGCTCTAGGTTTGTTGGTGACGAGTGCGAGCTCTCCAAAGTACTGCCCCTTGTGGCAGCGGGCAATCTCAACCTCCTGGCTCCCAGCATCCTTGTTTGTTTTAGTCTACATCAGGCGGAAAACATGACCTGAGATGACCAGGATCATAGCTGGCCAGGTCCAGATGCACATGCTCAAACTTCTTAGCACGTTCAACACAGTTACAGAGAAACTAACTGGCACAGGTTCTAACTGCAACATGTGAACTCCATGTACTCATTTCAGGGGTCTGGTTTCATTACAAGAGCTGGCTTTCCCTGGGGTTCCACCTGAAATCTAGGGTTTTTCAAGTAATGGTTAGATAGCAAGAGGAAAGGTGCAGACCATTTTCTGGGAGATGCCAGCTTCTGCTACAGAGTGGGAAAGACAAGACCTTGAGCTAATTGTAAGTTAGAAACTTCTCTAAGCCACAACCCTGGATTTCTCTGATTTGAGACTGTGCCTGTCTTAAACTGTTTTTTACAGACAAACTTTCTAGTAGTCTTTTTTTTTAAACATTTATTGTGTGTGTGTGTGTGTGTGTGTGTGTGTGTGTGTGTGTGTGTACGGCCAGCTCAGCCCACCAGGGGGCGAGGCTGGCTGGCATGTGGTGCT